AGTTGCAATAACCACTTCCTGTGAAAGGCCGAATTCCTGCCCCTCTGAACCCTTGTGCTGTAATTCATCAAAGAGCATGTCTTTCTGGCACCACCAGCCCAAACCCTTGTCTACCTGTGAAGGCCACCACTGAGATGCGGAAGAGAAGGAAAAGAAAGTCGTGAACTAAAGCTTCTGGTCAGACCGACGAGTGCCACATGTGCGGTCTTACCGTAGCCAAGAGGGATGCAGCCTTTGAGCGTAACATATGCAATAAGTGTGTGGACAGTCAGTGTGATGAAGATATACCAGACCAATATTACACGTTCACGGCGCACTACCCATGCATGTGGTTCTGGTACATCTGCCCACAGTGCCGTATAAGGCCACTCTTTTCTAAAGGCCTGCTGATGGAGGTCGTAAAAGGCATCACAGTGACTACTGTGATGCCAGCACCCACACAAACCACCACCCCAGGCCCAAGTGGCAAGCGTGTCAGCACTGTTCCCCAGACAGTCAAACCGGTGAATAGTCCAAAAAGACCCAAACGAAGACCAGGTAGACAACCAGCTACATAAGTCCGTAACCCTGAGGTCACTTTAACGGCTAACCCCACTTTACATCGGGAAAAATAGGTGACAGCAAAAAGGGTGCACCCTTCCCATTAAAAACCACCCACAGCACACGAAAACAGAGTTGATGACAAATCGAACTCCATCATCCTATTTAACGTCCCGGTGCACCATGATAGCCTTCTTGAGGACGGAGAATCTTTTGACAAACAGCAATGGGAAACCGTATACACCATATTAGGACTTGGTAGTCTAGAAGCAAAGCTGTTCAGGCTCTACAAAGGCAACTACTCGCCCCAGGCAAGGCCCCCGAGGATAAGAGCGACCCTGAGCTCTGCTAAGGAAACGGAAGGATTCCTGCCGGTGTCACCCACACTAGTCCCCAACAGGTCATGCAGCGTTGGGGCCAGACTATGCCCTCTTTGGTCAGCAAGAAACATATCTGGCAAGGCACTCCAAGAGCTGAAACCAACAACTATGGTTGTCCACGTCATACCGGAACCAACAACCGGCACAGTGGTAGAAAAGTATTCTCACGACGTCCAGCAATGGCGGTGGATATCAGCGAGGATAGGGTTACGTGCGATGGCTGCGGCGGCGGTCGGCAGACCGTCACATCCTTCACATTTGACGACGACAACATCACTCCGGTTGATGGCCGTCAACTTTTGCTGTCAAGAGCGTTTAACCAGAGTACTCCAAACTCGGTACATAGTAAAAAATAACATCAGTGGGAATTTTCGCTGCTGTGAAAGCAGGCCACAGACAATGCGACAACACCAAATGAAAGCTCCGCCCACTGCTGAAGTCACCATCACTGTCAACAGACAAGATGTACAAGCAAGCCTAGACTGTATGAAACCCCCAGAAACTATTGCGAGGAAAAACGTGATTAAGCCGGTTCCACTGGAGCTGGCTGTCCTATAGCAAGTTGCCGCATTACGGACAACCCCTCGCAGTCTGCCAGCACCAAGATATCCCATGTTATTGGAAACATATCCGAGTGTCTCTACAGTAATATGAGTGGAGTTAGAAGTAAGATGGGGGAATTACGATTTCCCTGTTCCTGCCTTACTCCAACGATCATGATCCTAACAGAAACTTGGTCACCACCGGATATTAGTAACATCGAAACTAGTACAGACAGTATGCGTCTGTTCAGGAGAGACAGGGAGTTTAAGGAAGGAGGCGGAGTGGCGATGCTCATGAGTGATGGCGTTAAAAGTGAACGAGCAGCTGAAACTCTACTTTCAGGGCTTCCAGGCTCCATCTGGTGTCACTTTAAGGTTGGAAGCGCTAGATACCTGGTAGGAGGCGTCTACAGAACTCCTACTGGCAACATGGGGGATAACCGACAACCGCCTTAAGTTATGTCAGGGATGACGTCCATCGGATATAACCAGGTCATCATAGCCGGCGACCTTAATGCTCTGACTCTCAATCTTGGGCAAGACAAGGGAACCTCAAGCCGAAGGTTCGACCGAAACCTACTCAACACTATCAAAAAGGCTGGGCTGCACGAGAGTACTGGCGATGACACTCCCGGGGGGGTCGGGCGGAAAGCCGTCCAAACTGGACTACCTTTTTACCAGCGACCACCTGCTGGTATAAAATGTACAGGTTCAAACCCCCCCTTGGCGGCGGCGATCACGGCGTGGTAGTGTTCGATCTGGCACTCAACGAATGACTGTCATGGGAGGGATCTCGCCCCTGTCTTTGCTACAGCAAGGCGAACTACGCGGCGATGAACCAATATCTGTCTACAGCACCATGGCCTCAGAAGTGGAGCAACCCATCAGTTGATCAGTACCGGGAACTAGTTAGAGATATCATCGATAGAGCTGTCTTTGAAAACTTCCCAGTAATCACAGCAACACCGCAGAAGCAAATCTCACGGCTGAAGCCGGGCACTGAGCGCCTTTTGGAGGCCAAGAGGAAAGCATGGCACAAGTGAAGGACATACAGAAAAGAGTCTTGCCACACCGCGTTTATTGCCCTGAGAAATGGATGTAACATCAGAGTGAGGGTAGACAGGAGGTCGTTCTAGACGAACCTCCCCCAGAAGCTCTAGACAAACCCAAAAACCCATATCTATTTATGGCAGGCAGAAAATCCACCAACCAAGGGGCTTGCGTCCTGTAAGGCCCAGACGGAGAGAACCTCTGCGGATTAGAGGTCACCGAAGCCTTTAGAGCCACATTCAACGCGCAGCTGAATACGTCCCGATCGAACCAGAATTACCAACTGTCTGACCAACATTCAGCACCACCAAACGCAGCAGAGTTACCTGGAATAAAGGTAACTCCTGCTATGGTCCTCGAAAAACTATCGAAGCTCCGCGCAGATAAATCACCAGGGTGTGATGACATCCGACTGGCTGTGTTGAAACAATGCACGAGTACCTTGTGCGGTCCGCTGTGCAACTTGTTTCAACACTCTTTAGGCATTCACATACTTCCACGAGAGTGGAAAAGTGCTATTCTGTCCCCCATCTCCAAAGGTGGGGACAGGCAGAACCCGAAATGCTACCAACCCATAGCCCTCCTACCAGTGGTGTCAAAAGCAATGGAGAACCCGGTAAATGGCCATGTCAGGGAGTACTTAGAAAAGAGGGGAGCACTTAGCGACGCTCAGAAAGGGTAGGTCCTGCGCCTCAAACATTCTGGTGGCAGGTGATAAGTGGACGGCATGCTGGGACTTACAAATTCCTGTCCATGTTACTTTCCTGGATTTTGCTAAGGCCCTTGACACAGTCTCACATACCGATGTCAGTCACAAAATAGCAGGGTTGGGCACAAAGGGGGGAGCGCTTGCATGGTTGCAGGACTATCTAGACGGTAGACAATTCTTCACAAAAGCCAGCAGAGTTTGCTCGACTTGGAGGACATCATCATCTGGTGTATCACAAGGAGCAATTCTGGGTCCACTGCTATTCCTTCTTTTTGTGAACTACCCCTCACTGAATCTCAGCTCCCAAATTCTACTTTACGCTGATGATGTTAAGTTATAGAGAGCTATGACGTCGGAAACGGAATCAAGTGCACTGCAAAGTGACCTCAGATTGCTTGCAGAGTGGGTGGATATTAATAGACCCACATTTAACCTAGATAAGTGCCCAGCCATGCTTCGCCGCACCTCAGACTCTCAGAAGATACCCTATTCTGTCTGTGGAACACAACTCTTTCACACCACCACAGAGAAGGACCCAGGACTAATGCTGACTGACAAACTAGACACTAGCCCCAATTATCCAGGAGATACCTTCAGAGCCTACGCAGTACCGCACTTCATGTGCAGACAACTTGGCGCCCTGGCACTGGAACTCTTTTTGTAGCTGTATAAGACCCATATACGACCCCACCTAGAGGTACACAATGTCACTACACCACCATATCTGAAAAGGGACATGAACCTCCTGGAGAAAGTCCAAAGGTAAGCCATAAAGGGTGTCGTGGGAATGAAGCAAGAACCATATCAGGACAGACTGAAAGATCTAGGACTCTACTGTCTGAGCTACCGTAGATTACATGGCGGCTTGGTAGTGGCTTGCGAAATACTAGGTAACACAAGTCATCCGAACAGCGGAATACTACGAACGGCCACTATGGCGATCCTCGTGGTAACCCAAGGAGAATAGCCCACCAAAGAGCGAAAACATATGTGGGGTCACGTTTCTTCTCTCTGGGGGTTTGCAGTTGCTGGAACGCATTGCCCTCCGAGATTGCTACTGCACCGCCTGTTGACAGCTTCAAGAAGAGGTTGAACAGTTACGCAGCGACGCACGGTTTGCGCTCATCCAACTGGGATGTGGGCTAGGCTGACAGAACCTACTAACTCTGTACGGCCAACCGTTACTGAACACTTTGTAAAACCACTATCAGCGGGAACTTGGCTCAACCTTATACCTTGCTATAGACGTCCCCTCCAGTTAACGTCTCCTACTAAAAGAATTACTATATTCCTATTCGTCCTATGAAGTTATTTATTATTCTTCCTTCTGATTTTACGTTCTCAAAGTTTAACAAAAGCTACCTCTGTCACCTATTCCCCATAAACCTACCAATGTTTCTTCTTCTCTGCCGTTTCCCTTTTCCTAATCTTTTCTCTTTCTTTTTTCTCAATCTTTTTCTATTTTGTCTTTCTCTGCACTTCCTCCCCCTTTATTTCTATGCACATACTTTTCATCTCCTTCTTACAACCAGTCCGGCCAATTGTCTGCTGGCACTTCACTTGAGGAACCCATCTGCACCACAGTCCTCGGGAGAAAAAGCAAACAAGCAAACGACACTCCCTACAAATTTAACCAACACCCAACCGCCCGTCGGGCTAACCAAAGCTACAGCAGCAGAGTGGGTAGACCTAACGCATCGGAATCCACCAAAGACCTGGAAGACCTAGAAGCGAGCACGAAGAAATCAGTTGGTTTACACTAGCTCGTGAAAAGATATTGGATATTGCAGATTTAAGCCGCTTGGTTCCAAAGTGCTCGTTGCTTTTTGTAATGACAAGGTACGTAGTGAAGTTTGCGAAATGTAAATTTGCTTTAGTTATTACAACGCTAGTTATGACCGTTATATACAAAGGACTGGTGACTCAAAGTCTCACAAGCTTAAGAATGCCTACTGGACCACCAAGCAAGCAGTAATAAATAAATTGCATCGTAAACAAGATGAAAATATTGTGGCTTCTGATTCCGATCTTGATGCCAAATTGGAGGTAAATCCCATTTTTCTCCATAACCCTTTTAGCTTTTAAGATCTGTTCAGACTACGTGCCGAGATCTGGACAGCATTCTGGGACGCTATCAGAGGACAATATGCTGTAAATTTTCATAGTCATTTTGATGAATGCTTAGACTTATCACAGGCTGAAAACGAAATGGGACGGTTTCTGAAGCAGTATAGTTTAGAAGATAAAACTCAAGCTGGGAAAATCATGTCAGCTGTTGGCAAAGCTCTGAGTGGTTCGGCTCAACAGAGGTCACTTTTTTATTTACTGATTGATTACTTGATTTAAATATGGCTTTCTTTCGTAGTGCATTTTATTGTAGACTAGGCAGAAGTGCTTTTGCCTCTTTCTAGGATAATTTTCACTTTTTTCGTAATCGGTTTTGGAATAAAGTGAATTATTATTATTTAGCTGCACATAATGCATAAAGTGGAATTCCTGCAAGGCAGTTTAACCCTTAGTCACTTATTGTGGTTTTATTGTATGTCTGACTCATTGGAATGCATAGTCACCTTTTATGAGTTCTGGCCCCGCTTCAAACACAGATCTAGGCAACCAGGTAGTACCAATCTCACCTGTGCAAACGTATACGCAGTTGCTGTGTTCGTTACCCTTTGGTGTTAGATTTTGTGTCTTTTGAGTCTTGTTCTGCTCTCTTCAAGTGTTGTAGGGCATATCTGGCTTATGATTTCATCGTTAGTCGAGATGAAAAACGAGGTGGCAGTCACAGTGGAGATAATTACCTTTTCAAAAAAATCATTTCCATAGCTGTAGACTCGTAACTATGATTTTCATTGAATAAACAGTTTTGAGAGAATTCCTGGTCAGGAATCAGTAGCACAGTACGAATATATCTGTAATGAGTGGGAAAAACTTTGGAAGGCGTGTTAATAAAACATTTTAAAAAATGAGGCCAAAGGGATCACTTAGCTTTGAGATATTTCCTGACGAAAAGCAGACAAATAAAAATGGTGAAAAGAACATAGTCGGCCCCCCGGCTGTACACAAACGTCTCAACTTAGCCTCTAATAAATACTTTGGCCGAAATTTTCTTGCGAACCCCGAAGGAACTGTCAATAGGAGCTCATCGTCGAATTATTTATGTCACTAACATAGCCGTGTTAGGTAAAGACGTTGACAAGTTGCAGAGTCTTCTGGACACAATGTTTGTCAAAGTAAGTTCAGGCTGAAAAAGGGTTAAAGGTGGCTAGACTAAAACATGGCATCAGCGATGGTTACTCTGAGCCATGTAGGATAGCCGGTCGGAGTCCACGTGACAGCAGAAACCGCGTGTTAGAGACTGAGTGACATGGTTCAGAATCGATGTTAGTGGTGCAGATGTATCTACAAATTATTCTAATTTTAATCACTATACTGACTCCAGCATTTCCTCTTTCCTCCATCCTCTATTTTGCTCCTTTCCACTACTTATGATATTCCTAACCACTAGGTCCTTATGTTTACCAGTAATTGATTGCAGAAGTCATTTCCTACGTCAATGTTTGTCTAACTCCATCGATTATGCAAATGAAAAATTGAAGATCAGCTAATATTATGATTAGCTGCTTCTCATCTGCTGAGAAAACGTCTAAAATGAGATTCATTCTTGGTACACCGGATTGGAGTGTGGTTATTTTTTCAGACTCACTTCCCAGCAACTTGGTTATACAAATAACATTTTTTGTAGCCTAACTGACATAATCAACGTAGAACCTCTCACATATATATCCACTCAAGTTGCCACACTTCACAGCATTACACAAAGAACAATTGAATAGAACAAAGTGATATCAAAAAAGATAAAGTAGTGTGAGAGAATAAACAATCCGAATATTTAAGCCTTAGAAGACTTCAAAGAGTGACTACATCTGTGCCATTGTGACTGATTTCCAATCACGTCGCCAAAAGTCCTAAACCACTGATTCCTTTCGTCTCACGGACCCCAACCGAGTAGTCTACATCTTTCCATACGGCTCAGCCCAACAGTCAGGGACTTCATCGACTGGTGCTGTGTCTTGGTCTGGTCACTATGATCCCTTTTCCATCCTAATCCAACTTCCCTTAACCATGGCACGTCGAGGTAGGTGGTGGCTCGGCATGCACAGTACATGTCCAAGCTATTTCAGTTGACGAATGTTCACCTCGTCAGGTGATTTGCTTATCATCTTGTGCAGTACCCTTCACCTGAATTCAGCACTACACAGTGATTCCACCGAACGCATGCAATGCTACGGAGACACCTATGATCAAAACCATGTAACCGCTTCATTTCTTTTGGTTTCAGTGAGCATGTCTGACAGCCGTACAACAGGACAGAATGAACTGCAGTGCAGTATACTTGTCCTTTGCTAGATAGTCGGATATCTGGCCAGTCGACACCATAGGTGATGGAAATGGGTAAGTACCAAATGGGCCCTCTGTATTACACCCGAAATTTTGTTAGTAACCAGCCCGTTCGGACTGTTGTAACTCCCCAAGTAAATTCCACCACTTTCGTCCTTCTCCTTAGACTAATAGTTGCAGACCGTTTCTGGAGCATCATCTTACATTTAACATGTACCAACGAAACGCCTGCCACACATACTCATGTTTCTGCTCAACACGCCCAGAAGGCCTTGTATTTTGTCAGTCTTCACTTAATAGGACAATATCGTCTACATACTTCAAGTTAACCGGATGACCTCCAGGGAGTAGGTCAGTTCCTGCCAAGTCAGTAGTACCTAGTACTATGTCCATTAGTATGTCTATGGTGAAGCTAAATAGGAACAGTGACAGTGTACATCCCTGGTGAACACCACTAGTTGCCCTTACACGGCTGCATGAGTTCGAATAGGGAGCTTTGATAAGCACCACATATTTGGTTGGTACTCCCCTCAGTCAGACACTACCACAACACCACAGTCGACGGAATCAAATGCCACCTTCAGGTCAAGAAGTATGGCAAGTGGTGCTATTGGCTGGTAGGCGTGCCTACGTTTCAGAACCTGTCAAAGGGTAAAAATATGATTGATGCACCGTCGCCCAGTTCTGGAAACTGCATGGTTTTCTTGATTTCACTGTCCTCGAGCTCCATTTAGGCGTCGAATAACTATGAACCCTAGGACGTTGGACACAATGTTAGTCCAACTAATTCCCTTACGGTTATCACAAAAAGACTTCTCTCCGCTCTTCTAGACTAGAATTATCAGAGAAGTACACCATTTCGATGGTTCTGTCTCTGATTCCCATACACTACTCAGTACTTCCATCATTCATCAGCAGTTTCCAACCTCCATCGTTGAAAACTTTAGGTGGCTAACAATCACGTCCTGCTGCTTTGTATCGTTTCAGGTTCTGTACAGCCTTCCCAACTTCAAGGAGAGTTGAACGACCAACATCCACGTCCCATTCAAGTTCAGAATGGATGTTGGGCAACTGAAGCGTTGCTGAGGGCCAGTTGAACTGTACTTCAAAGTGTTCCGTCCAACGTTCTAGCCGCCTGCCTTGGGAGGTCATCAGCCTCCTATCGTTTTCAGTGATGGTCTCGCTCATTATTGTCTTCTTTCTTAATAAGCCTAAATAGTTGCCGAGTTTTACCCAAGGCTGATGCTTTCTCCATCTCTCTCGATTTCGTCACCCACAGTGCTCGCAATCGACGCGAAGACTCAGTTGCTTTCGCTCTTCATCGTCGTCAGAGCCATCAGGAGTCAGTCTTCGTGCATCGGTCAGTTCGGATGATGTCGCGTGAATCCAGCGACGTTGTTTCGCTAACCTTCAGGTGTAGGTTATCAACTACCTTTACCTCTGTTTCTACAGGAAACTTAATATCAGGATGAAGATTGCTGTCACGTTCAGATGAATGCTTAGCTAACTCTTCTCTAAATGCGTATCTGGCGTCCCCATCTACCAATCGAGCACAAAAGAACCTCTGTATCCGTCGTTGGTCTGAAGTCGGTGGACGCCATGTGAGACAGTGTCTCTCCTTATGCCTAAAGTTAGTGCTGATCAGAAACAAGTGGTTGTGGGAACAGATTGCAACAGACGATCACCATTATCGGTTCGCTGGCATGCGATTCCTTAAATATCCCAAGATACCTTTCCCATTAGCTCACCTTCCCTACTTGAGTGTTAGAGTCACCTGTTTATATGACTACATCCGAACGTTTTGCTTTTTGTAGCAAAGTTGACTGCTTCTCATAGAATTCACCCTTTGCATCATCCGAGCTACAGTCGGCGGGTACGTAGGCGAAGATTACGAATAGTTGTTGATAGTTTTCACGATCCTTTCTAGTTCTTACAGATCCATTCAGTTGAACAGCACAGATAGTTGTTTACTGGTATCCATTCGAGAAGTGTTTTTTCTGCTCTACAAATCAACGCTACGTCTACACCACATAGTCGAAAATAGCTCTAGCCATTATGTCTCTGGATACTAGTAAGGTGGATTTTGAGAATTCACTACTATGGCCAGGTTACGTCAGTTTAGTAACCATACACGGGTCCTGTATAGATGTCTCACAGACACAGCATATATCCATGGCCAAGGGTTCCAGAGTTATGACCAGTGATGTTTGCTGTCCGATGTGGCATAGAGTTCGGACGTTGAAAAATCCCACATGAAATCAATGGCCGATCTTTAGGTTTTAATGGCTTTAATCTTTGGCAATGGTCGCAGAGTGAGAAGGTGGAGTAGGTGTAAGGGGCTTTAAATTAGTATCAGGAGGTGAAGGCAAAGGAGATGGAGTTGATGAGGATAGGTTGTATTTGATTGGGTCTTGTGTACTACTGGAAGCATGCGGGCGGTTGGCACTCGTCGACTGCTCAAACCGTGGAAGGTTAGTTCTTCTTGAAGCATCTGAAAAAAGAAGAGATAGTGTGTGACCACATAGCCAAAGGAACATCTGCTTGAGGCCGGTCACACGGCTTTTTGCAGGTTATTGTTTTGAGGTTTGGTTGGCACAGGAAGACAGAGAAGTGTTCTGTTAGGGCTGATCTTTTTTAACCCTAACCCTTCACATAAGAAAGGCAAGATGAGCGTGGTGATTCAAGAGAACAACCTTACTGCTGTCACACTCCATCCAGCTAGCAGCAGTATGACTTCGCCCTGAGACTACAACGGTAACTACTTTTCGTCTTACCACTATCCAACAGACTTTTATGGCATGGGAGAACTGCTAAGGGAACAAGCGTCGCAGCTAGCATAGTTCGTGGGACCATTGTGATATACAAGCATGATCACCACGTCACTGTAGTAGCTATCGGACAGGTGTAAGTTGCCTACTCAGAACTATGTCATTTATGCAACCGGGGTAGTAATTAGCGATATGAATGATCCCTAAATCAATAATCAAAGCATTTATTGGACTTGGTTGACGCTTAGCATTTCTGACAAGGTTTATTACTTTATAGAGTTCTTATTCTTCATTTACTGACAAATCTATTTTTGTTAGTCCGTAGCCAGGTTTCTTTCATAACATCATCATCATAATGTAGTTTGCTTACCTTCTGTACACGAGACTTTTTTTTCTGCCGGATTTTTGAATGCAGATTGGAAGTTATGAAGGCAGCCATTTATTTCATGCCAGTATTATGTGGATAACTTCATAGTTTCTTTTGATAAAAAATAGCTGTTTTGTACTTCCGAATGCTTTAAAGTGAAATTTCTGTTCTACACATAAGGTAGGTCTAAATCTGCATGTCCATACAGTAGGCAATGAATCACACTTACTGTGTGAGGGCTAAACTTTGATAGGGGAAGCGGTTTTTGCACCTATGACTCAATGATAGTGTAAAAATTTACTTTCTGATTGATGACAGTTCCTTTTCGATCTTGTCATCCAATTGTAGGCTTTCTACTGTGAAATGGTGTTAGGTTTCAGTTTATAGTGCGTTAGTACATTCAACATATTGAAGGTCCAGTTATAGCATAAATGTTACTTCCTATCATTTTTGAGTATCTTAATAATTTGCTGATATGTTTATCAAGTTTAGCGCTTGACAGTAAAATATAGTATAATTGAACTAAGCTCGAACATTAAGCTTATGCATCAGGCTTCAAACTATGCTAACTTCTTAAGGGTTAACGATACTACCCAAATACATAGACTTATGGAGGTAAGGTGGCATAATAGTTGTGCTCATTGTCCACTCTACTGATTTACTGTGCCACCTCCGCGACATGTGTACTACTGTACCAAACAATATATTGAAAGCCTCTTTATCATTATCGTGAGATTATTGTGTTTCTGTAAAAATGCCTTACAGTAAATTCAAAGAATACATTAGACAACCTGCTTGTCACCAACACTATAAGATATGGAACAAAAGATAACTTACTTGTCCCAAACACCAGTTAATATTCTTTGTTTCATCTGTAGAATGCAGATTAATAATACGGTAATATCTCGGATGGGGTCAGGTGTTTGATCACTGTTGCATTGGCGTAGGCCGTCATCAGAAACACAGGAGTCAGCTGTAGAATTTTAGGGAAGCGAAGAAAGTAACTCGGTGAAGTTGGGAACATTCATCAACTGAGATGTCTGGGACAAGTGTTACGCATGCCTGGTCGTCCAGTGTTGCCTGAAGTAAGTTTAGGCTAATAGAAAATTAGAGGCGACCAAACTAAAACTGTTAGGGGATGGGTAATCCCTAAGAAAACCAACTTATAATATGTTTATATTATCGTTGTAAAGTTTAAGCCTTTTTTTGCACCCTTTTTGCGCCAAACTATGTTGCTTATTTTTACCGCAGTTTAGGATACTAAACACTAATTGGTCCATTTTATACTTTGAACTTACTATTTTATTTTCTCTGGCCAAGGCAATCTAAGGATATATAAACGACTGAGTTTTCACCTGTTATTATTCGGTTGGAGTAAATAGACTTTCAATCCTATCGTCTTCTGGTTTCAGCGGAGTATCGAGTTCAGAGGTCATTGTTCTATCGCTAATCGTATCGTGTCGGAACATTTGTACCATTATCCATAGCGTTGACTCGTGACAAAAACATTATATCAATGCATCTAGTCCTTGACTGTTGGTTTAAGCCTCGTAGGAAATTGCAGACGTGAACAACAGAAACTGATAGTTGAAGACCTTATGGTTTACAATCGATATCAGTGGCGCAGACATATCCATGCACACATTATCTTCATCTTAACCGCTGCACTGAATTCAGTATTTTCCCATTCCTCCTTCATCCCTTTTACTACTTTTGACCGATCCTTTTCTCTATCTTTCATCCGACTACTTTGTTACTTGATATGCTGAAATGAGGTGTGGCAGCTTAGACCGTTATACAGTAATACCTGGTTCTATGTTGATATTGACTGATTGATGATGAATATCCCAGGATATCATTTTCATTAAAGTTCCGTAATATTTTCTATAAATATATTTTAGACTTACTCTGCTGAATCCATTGGACCGTGTTCATCAAGAAGTCAAGACATTTAGGCAACGGGCAATCAGTGATACAACAAACACAGTTAAACGTATGGAACAAGGTCGTACAGAATATCGAGGTGCATTGTTGTGGATGAAAAATGTAAGCGAAGAACTGGATCCAGATACCTACAAACAATTGGAAAAATTCCGATGTGTCCAAGCACAGGTAAATGATACTATGATTGGTTTATCTAGTTGTCGCACATTTTAAATTATATACGCCAAGAAACCTTTATTATTAGATTTTTATACAATTGCATTAGTTACGATGTAATCCAAACTAATGCACTTATTTTCCTCAGCTTTGTTCACTACCGTTTGAAAGTAGTCAAGGTCGTATATCCTTATCCTGGTACATAAAAAATGGCGTATCATTCTAGTTAGCGTTGGCAATAAAACTTAACGTTCGTTTTAGAATATAAAAGACAGATAGAATCAATGCAGAACCTCTCACACAAGTGCATCACCTAAATTTACCAAACTTCACAGTATTATACACACACAGCAAGTGAATAGAAAACAATTGATATCTAAGTAGACTGAGTTGTGTCAGAACAAACAATTTAAAGATAAATATTCAAGTTTTAGATGACGTTGTGATCGGTTTTCAGCGATGTCACCAAGAGTCAGTCCTCAACCACCGCTTCACTCCTATCGTCTCGCGGACCCTAGGCAGGTGGTCTACATATCTTTCGTAAGACCTAAAATACGCAGATGACATAGTCCTGTTAGGAGAAGACGCTGACAAGATGCAGAGTCTTCTGGACACTTTGAGTGCCAATTTGGGAATATTTGGGATGCGTTTCTCGCTACCCAAGTGCAGATTATTGCCCCAGGATTAGTCTTCAACGGTGTCTCGGCTAACAATAGAGTGTTGTGGTTGAATGTGTCGACCATTGAAAGTGGAAGACATGAGAAGGCTTCAAGTGTTTGACCACTGTTGTCTTCGTAGCATAAGCTGTATGTATTCCGTGGTGTCACCATATGTGAAAAAGCAGAAGTCAGGCGTAGAGTTTTAGAGAGAAGGGGTAAGTCAGCTTACGAGGTTGTGAACCTTCATCAACTGAGATGGCTGTCTGGGACATATGTTACGTATGCATATTCGCTCTCTGCCTCGTCACACAATGTTGGCCGGAGTAGGCTCAGGCTGGAAAAAGGCTCGAGGCAGCCAGACTAAAACATGGCATCATTGTATGAAGTTTTTGTGTGTTGGTTTGAACCATGTGGGGTTATGCGGACTGGGTGGTTGGGGTCCGCGGGACTAGAGGAAAAAGTGGTTGGAGACTCTATGTGATGCTGCTTAAAAAGGATGTCAGTGGCACAGACGTATACACATACTATCTTCATCTTAACGCTATACCGAATCACCATTTTCTCATTCTTCATTTTTATCTTTTCGTACTTTATACTGCTTTTGGTTGAATTTTCTTTTCTTCATCTTCAACTTCACTGCCTTTTTACTTGATGTACTGATATAAGCTATGGCAACTCAGATCGTTACGCAGTAATGCCTGGTCCTATGTTGATTTGAATGGATGGATAAGTCTACGTATCTCCACACCGCTCAGACCAACAGTCAGGGACTAGTGTCAGGGCTTAACCCAACTACCCTAAACCTAATACAACCTCGTCTAGCATGGTGCGTCGAGTTAGGCGGTGAATCAGCATGCTCAACACATGTCTAAGCCATATCATCATCATCATCAATCTACTTGCCTATCTTGCATACTACCCTTCGCCTGACCTTAGCATTGCTTACACAGTTTTAAAACCTTCCCATTTCTTGATGACATTTTACTGTTACTTATTTGGTTTACCAGTGTTCTCATTTTCTCAATACCACATATTATTACTATGATAATAATAACTGTTATTATTATGATTATTAGAAATGTTGATGTTGGCTGTGGTTTAGTGTGTAAAGGGTTCAGTGTAGTCTGAAATCATGCCTCATATGATTGTATTGGTCCAGTGAAGTCATTACTGAATGTTGTAGTTATTCGGCTCTCAATTCTTGAGTTTTAGCGTAGAAAGCCTCTTACGAATAATGCTATCGAATCAGTCCAGTTTTCAAAACATAGAGGTATTGCTGAAATTCTAATGTACGCCATTACCTAGCTACTTTTCATTGTTTCTTCTTCAAGCAAAACAGCCATAAAACTAACCGAAATATTTTACCTTGGGTGGGATTTATTACAGTATAAAAGACAGTAGGCTAAGAGGTCTGTATTTATCCTCGCAATGTATATCTTCAATAATGCAATTTCTCTTTTAAACCGTTCATCGAAGGAGCTACTACTTGTTTCGGTAACGAGTTTCAGTTGTTAACCACTCTAGGAGAAAATTTGAGTTCTACACAAAGTTTATTCGGCTGTAACTTTTGATGTCCAGTAAAATAATCGGTCCTGGACATGGTAAGGAGAATAAAAACACCAGCACCTGAATTGTCATTGAAGAAATGACACACCAAAATAAGACCTCTACTTTCCGCTTAATCTGATAAAAGGATGTGCAAAGATTTTGTCATTAAGTGGGTGCTTCCTCCCTGAAGTGTTCCAACATGTCTGTTTCCCTCCTAAAACAAAGGCTTACTACCTGTGTACGATATTCTAGATGAGACTTTAACTCGTATTCTTAGTATGTCCTCATCACATCACTCAAAAGTCTAGCAAAGCGGCCATAATGTTCGAAGTGCACTTACTGCAATCTCATTTCTGTTTTTCGTTCATTGTTCTCATGTATAAAATGTTTTGTTTAACACGGCTTTAGTCAACTAGGGTAAAACTGGCGACTGAATACTCGATGATATTGCCCAGAATCTTTACAGCTCTTTGTGAGATATTCCTCCTCTACCTAAAATTTTTTAAGGTATTCCGTAAATATTCCAACTTAGTCATGAACATACTTATGGTAGTCTCTTTTTGCTGCATAACTGCTCTTTATGGATACCTCATGTGACAGTAGAGAAGAAAGTGATTGAGCTCATTAACCACTGTACTTGGGAAGTCAAAGCAGCTCTTGTAGGCCAGTAACCAGGGCAATCTCTGCACAGATATAAAAGACAACTGAGTTTTACCTACGTATGCCATCTATAGATATGGCAAGATATCCGATTGCCTACACAGAGCTGAGTGTAAGTGCATCGCTCCTTTTTGTACTGTATGGCTGTGAAACATTGCCGTTAATAATGGCGAGGGAAATGAGATTTCAGTTTTCTGACCACTGACCACTGTAACATTGTCCACTTATCGTGAAACCATCAAAGAAGCGATGCACTAGTTAGGCTTAGAATTCTAAGGGAAAGAAGTAATGAGTTTGTGAACCTGTATCAACTGAAGTGGCTAGGACATGTGAGCTGCAGCAACACTTGTCTACAAAAAGGTTAAGTATGCCCAGACTAAAACTTGGCATCAGTTTATGTGGTCTCTGACTGCTGGTTTGAGTCGTCCATGGGGTGGCCGGGGGGCTGGAGTGTTGGGTTGTAAGCTTCCAGTTCAGAGTCCACGTGAAAATTGAAATAGACGGTTGTAGACTCTAGTTGATGTTGCTCAGAAACGATGTCAGTTACCACTCGTTTGGTTCCTTCTCATAACTTTTGATTATACTGATGTGAAGTGTGACAAATTGAATGCAAGGTGCTTTGATTTATCTATCTATCTATTTGGATGTACTATTCTCATTCCTTTATTTTCTCGTCCTATTATTTTTTAATCCTGATGTAGTGATGTAAGGTATGGCAACTTGGGATGCTACACAGTAATACCAAGCCCCGTCTTGATACTGACTAGTTGACAGGAAGTTGTCAGTCCCTGTTTACTGTGTTGGGTAGTTAAACAGTCGGTGAATATTCGTATACTAACCAAAGTGAGATGTTTGTGAGTGATAGAAGCATCTGATAACGTCTCTTAAAGTATATCCAGTCGTTTTGATGTTACGTCAGTTGGTGTACATTTCAAGTAACCTCACTTCCTTCAACTTCATATTTCTTTCTGATATTTCATAGCTCATACATTATGTTCAATGTGTGTTTTATTTTCCAATGTTAAGCCCAACTTTCATCCCTTTCTTTTCTTTTTTTTAACAATAATAAATTTAGGTTCGTAAAGCTAAAGTTTCATTTGATCGTTTAAAAGTGGACAGTATGCAAAAAGTGGATTTATTGGCAGCTAGTCGTTGTAATATGTTAAGTCATGTGCTTGTTGGTTATCAAAACACACTATTGAATTTTCTTGAGAAGACATCTCAGTAAGTTATGCCATTTTCCTTTTGAAATTACCTTTAAAAAAATGCATTCTTCCGCTTGAAGTTTCATTCATCAGACAGATTTGTCATCACAAGGACATTGTTGTCATGTTAATAAATTACACCCATCTGTTAAACTGAAGGAATATACGCATTTATTCATGAATAAGAACAAGACATTTATCAGCAAAGAAAATGTATTTATTTCTTTAACAACTTCATCAACTCAAGCTGTTGTATTCATAATCGGTATCACTACAGACAATTGCAGAATTACACAGTTACCACCTCAATATACAAAGGTGTTGGGATTTATTCAAGTGGAAGAAATAGAAATGGGTCACTGAATAAGGAGGGATGAATTGATAAAACGTGGTGATATAAAGGGTAAGTACTGTCAAACAAAAGCAAAACGATTTTTATCAATCACTCTGTTCAGTAGATACGGCGAATGTTGAAGTCGGAACTCTTAGAACAACACTATCGAATAACAGATATCCTAAAAGTTATTGATAAGAATGTGAAGAAAGGAATCACTCCTCTTCCCATTACAGCTCCTAAGAAAATCTTAACCATGAATTTGGAATTCAAAGGAGATGCCGCAGCCGAAGTGCTGAAGAGCCATTTGTCAAAATGTATCAGTAGTAGCTTTTTTGGTGCTAGACAGGTAGATTTTCTCCAGCCGCTGTCTGGTTTGACAATGCATGAAGGATAGGCTGCCACTTATGTCCACATCTATGTATATCTACAAATTCACATGCTCCTTTGGACCTAGCTATATTGAATGGTGTAAGCCCGCCCTCCAAAAATGTGTTGCTGAACATTACTCGGTTTGGCTTAACAAAGGCGAGCGAAGAAAAATAACTTCGTCCATATGTGAACACCTTGTTGAATTAAGTCATTCAGCACCTCGAGATTCATCCTGTAAAGTAATTTACAAGGTTAAATCGAACTACTCCAAAGGTCTACGTTTCCACCTCTTATGCATAGCTGAAGCATCAGCTATACATGAACAAAAGCCGAAACTGCATTCAAAAACGTTTTGTGGAACCACTTTCTCTACCTTGGCCTTAATAATTCACTTTTAGTTACTTTTGTCAATTTCATTTCACTTTGATATACTTATCTTTTATTATTATTGTTGCCACTATCCCCATTTTTCACTTCATTAACAGCATTTGACTCATATTTCACCATTTGATATCAATTTGTTGTCTTATTCACTGACCCATTTTGCATGCTTCAATTAAATTATCATCGGTTTACTTTTGTTTGACAGTACTTACCCCTTATATCACCACGTTTTATCAATTCATCCCTCCTTATTCAGTGACCCATTTTCTATTTCTTCCACTTGAATAAATCCCAACACCTTTGTATATTGAGGTGGTAATTGTGTAATTCTGCAATTGTCTGTAGTGATACCGATTATGAATACAACAGCTTGAGTTGATGAAGTTGTTAAAGAAATAAATACATTTTCTTTGCTGATAAATGTCTTGTTCTTATCCATCTGTTAAAGTTAACGGGATATTTTCGCATGCCTTCATCATCAAATATTATTTCTTACCTCACGCACAACTTTGTTTACTTTGATATCAGTCGTTTTTTTTGTCGATTTATTCTTTCTCTACTGTTGGGAAGTCTGACAACCTGTGGTAATACAATTATATAAAAACTTCTGTGTTCATTCAATCCGTCTATCTGACTGAATTGTTTGTTAAACACACTGTTTTTGTTCCCATCGATGTCAGGTTTAAATCTCGCTTTGCTTTTTATGGTTTTTACCACCACCTTATTAGTTCGTGTTCACTTTCTTTTTTTCTTTGTGAAATAGCCGAAAGCATGAGTCTGTACATGGATTGCGTACTGATTCGTCATGTATTTATTCCTCCATAGAGTTTAGCAGATATATTGTTGGAATTTTGGGTGAATGAAATCACTGTTCAACAGTATCAATGTTTATGCATAGGGACATTTAACTATTTCTGGCGCTTACACAAGTTAATGATCTTTTTTTTCGATTTCTTTACCTTTTTTTTCAGTATGATGGTGGCAGTAGCAGAAAGTTTTCGCGGTTATCAATACTATGAATTTTCGATTCTTCGACATTTGAGACCAGAAAGTCGTAAATTAGCAGGATATAAAGGTGATAATGACACTGAAAGGTATGCTTTGTTTTATCTTCTGTTAATGCCAAGTTAAGCGTGTGTACAAAAAAAAGTCTCGATGTGGGAGCACTGAACAGCCAGCTTTTTCCTTGAAATATAGGACTCCCAAGCGGTGTACACCAATGACCCCGCCCCACCAGGGGTCGAACCGGGGATCTTTAGGTTCCTTTGTCGGCACGTTTCCGCCGAGCCCCTGGAACCGGCAGGTCCTGGGTTCGATCTGCGGTGGGGTCATGGGTGCGCACTGCTGAGGAGTCCGTACTATAAGGAAACAGCTGACCAGTGCTCCCAGGTTTCCAATATTCCTTCAACTAATGTCTGTTCATCATGAACTCCAACCTAAAAATCAATTAATAAATCTCTACATACCTCCAGATAAAAATCTCAATGTATTTAACCACTTTCTTTATAGACAGCAGTTCATGCATAGATCAACCTTTAGAAAATTTGTTTTGATTTTCTGTGTCTATTGCGATATGACTTTCTTGGAATAACTCAGATAAGCCACTTAATCAATATGTGGAGATAGTGGAAAGTAAAATTCTCACCTTTACTAATCCATAATAAATTTATTCTTTTCAATACCTTTTGTGCATCCAGCTATATATTTCTCTTCTTTAGAGGCAGAAAAGTGTTTTTTTCCGTTCCTTTTGACTTAGGTTCTAAGTTGATTAGAAATATTTTTGATTAGTTCTCTATACTCTAATCTTTTAAGTTCCTGTCTAAGTTTTATTGATCTAACTTTTTTTTCAACAGGTTGATCTCTGAGAGAATTGAGTGTACTGTACTACAGTTCTCTCGGTTCTGCTGCATGGCTGGGAAACATGAATATAGGTAGGAAAATGTGCGGATACTTCAGGTGTTTGTTGGCCACCGTTGCTTTCATAGCACATAGGATGTGTGTCATGGTGTCATCAAGTCAGTAATTCAGAAGTCGTCAGATGAAGGGTGTTTTTAGAGCGGATTCAAAAGTCTGTTGATTAGGTTAGGAACTTTTATCGACTGAGATGGCTGGATGGGACATGTGTTACACCCGACAGCACACAAAATCAGTTGCAAAAAAACATTTTCCAAAAAACCGAAGACACTGAAGTATAATAATCTTGCAGAGAAAAGAAGAAAACTTTTTAATGGCTGTTTTAAGAAGAACGGCTATCGATGCAACTTCATCAAAAGATGGTTGCGTAATTCGTTGTCAACTAAGAAGTCAAACTCGGAAACTGACAAACGCATCGCCTTACATGAACAACATTTCCGAGCTCACAACTAGATGATTGAATCTTTTTGGAATCGCTTTACCTCACAAACTCAAAAAATCTCTCTACTCTCTGTTATGCGGGCTAAAAGATACAATAGTGAAGGAAGACAAACCAAACGTTATCCACAAAAAAACTGAAGAAAACCCTGTATCGGACAGAATGTTCTCTACAGGAACATGAACTAGTAGTGAAGCGTCATTATATATCTTCGGTCATATCAGCACACAGACAATTATGGACATGAATTTGACTGGGGAAATATGGAAATCCTGGATGGATAGAAGAATGACAAAGAATACCAGAGAATCTTTAAAAGCTTGGTGTATTCAGGTCAGTCAGCGACCAACAGGTATATTGACATTGAGTCAATCTATCAACTAAAAATAAATAACAAGGTCAAACTTCACGTCAGTAGGACAAGCAATCGAAATAAATATGAAGACAATGAAAAGACGTTGGCGTAAACAACCATTCACAAACACAAGGCGGCGATCAGAACAGACTACTAAGCCGCTACTTGTAGTGAAAACTCTATAGATCAGTTGATATACATGAATGGTATTAAGGGAAAATCCGAGTTAACAACAAAGTGGAGCAATTATCAAATGAATTAATGCTGTTTCAGATGCCTTCACAGATTACATCAATCAGAATTAGTTGAGTCTATCAATCTTCCTATTAGGATTAATGCTGTTTTATTTGCAAACGCTTATTGTATCTGATGGGTCACTCTACTACTACAGAAGGAAACAAGGAGACTGAGACCCAGGAAAGACTGTTTATTATTGACATCTTTTACAGTTGTCATGAAATATTGTACAGTTATTTGCATAATGCACTTCATTTCCTCTTCTGCTTCTGTATTGATTCGCTCCTAACATGTCAACATTGTCTCTTGCGTTTCTCTGGGTACAATCTTTACTTATTACTGGTAGTTTTCTATGATTTCTGTCGCCCTCTCAACATATACTACCTATATCTATTCTGATCAGGAAAGCCCACTATACTACCTTACTATACTACTGCGTACTTTCATTGGTTTGCTGTTCACTGTTGTGCCAAGGATCACCATATTATGGTTTGAATTATCAAAAATCTTCACATAGGGATAAGAGCACATTTTTCTGCTATCAAAGTGTTGCTCATAAGTAAACAGCTAAGACTGTATAGTCCTCAGGCATTACTGTACACGAGTGACAAGTTGTAGAACTAATCACCATTTGTAAGTTGGATGGCAAATCTAATAAATCTCAGCTTCACACAGTATGTACTGTGTACTATTATATAAGGAAGTTGTCACGTTATCTTATTCTAAAGTGTTGAAATCTGTTTAGTGGTTTGTTTTATTTTTCATTTATTTATTACTAAACCAGAAAAGATGATGATATCGAAGTGAAGGGAAACGAGGCCAAGGATGAGAATAATGAAGAGGTGGATGATGAGTATAATTCTTTTTCTACGTCATCATCTTCTAGTGGTGTAGGACACACTCATAGTGCAACCAAAAGAAATTGTAAAACCACCTGTATTTTATCTTCAATACACACTTGTATTCCCACTGGGTACGAAGCTTTAAAGAGTGATGATACTTTGAAAAACCAGCAAATACTGACGTGGTAATTATGTGTGTGTGTATGCTGAGACTTGCGTTTACTTGCTTTCCAGAAGATTCACTTCAATATTTTTCCAAATTGAAAATACACATACTAATTTCGGTGAAGGATTCATTTGCACTAAAAAAGGAAAATATTCGGTTCACTTTAACTTAGTATGTTTTTTTTGTGCATACATTTCAATGTTCACTGGGTATTGAGCACTGTTTTATACACAGTTTTATTTATTCACCATTTAACATGGTATATTGTATTATTGTACCTGTCTTGAAGAGAAGTGGTCCACTACTTTTTACCAGTCATGTCTTCATTGTTGTATATGTAGAACTGAGACTTATTAGTTTAAAAAGATGACTATTAACCAATGAGTCATGTGTCCGAGCAATGTTGAGGTCAGCTGAAGGGTACATCGACATGTATTGCACATCCTGAACCACTGCCTACCTACAGGGAAATTGGAGTAGGTTGGAAGTGAGTTCAGTTTGGCCGTATTACTCTTAGTGACATGACTGGAAATCGATGACAATGACGCAGATGTATTCACTCTTTGATATCTTTTAAACCTTGAATATTTTCAAAAGCCTTCATCATCAGATTGTTGGTTCTCTTCCACGCAATTTTGTCTACTTTGATATCAGTCGTTTTCTATCCACCTATTCTTTGCATACTACTGTGAAGTATGTGACAAGTTAAGGTTATTCGGTTAGGTACGAGGCTCTATGTTGATTCTGTCTGTCACAGGTTCGACTCCCGCCTCTCCTACCGAAATGCTTTAGACAGCCAGGTAGTAGTATTATTAGCCATCATACAATAGGTATGGTTCATTGTCGCCTCTTACACGAAAGTGTGCACAAGGTGGATTGAATATAACGTGACGATTGATTAAATTTCTTCATCTTTTGCTGAAGAAGTATTCACTACATTGATTCAAGTGATATGATTATATAGTAGTTAGTATATTTGGTTGTTAACATAATAAAAGACCTTTCCACTTAGTTCTGCAGTTCTGAAACATGCCAACTACAAAACAAGGACATCAGTAAACATCTCGAGGCGGTAGGTAATTTGATCACCGACGCCTTGTGGCTACTGATGTTGTTTGTAGAAAACATCAAACATCTTTGCTTTTTTGTCATTTCATCAGGGTGTTCGGTCTGCACTTCACTAAACGATATTCATCACTTAGAACCTGGAGTTTTGGTTTTTCTTTCTTCTGTTCTTCACTTCTAGTGTCATGGGTTTAAAAGACATGCTTAATTAATTCATTCCACCGTCTAATAATCTATTTGAATTTGTGTTGATTACGTGTGAATCATCTTTCTCATTTTTATAGGTTCGACAGTGAAGCCAGTGAATGCAAGTTGAATGATGCAAAAGACACTAACGCTTCCACTGATAAAGATGGAGTGTATCAAACAAATTTGATTGAAGAAGAATTGGATAAACGATTGGATGAAATCTTTCGTGAAAATAATAATAATAACGATGATACAGATGTCAATTTAGACCAATTCAACTTGACTGCATCTAATTATTACGAAGGGAATACATCAAAAAGTCGAAATCCTACTGGAGACGGTAATGATAGTAACACCACTGGTAAGGTTGTTAGGGTTATTATACATAGACAGACATGTAGCTGGGGAGTGAGGTAGACAGACACACAGACGGGTAGATAGGTAGACATGTTGCTGGATAGATGGTAAGACACAGACATATAGATAGGCTGACAGGTGGATATACAGACAGACACGCATCAAGATGGAAAGATAGACATATATAGGCAGAAATGCAGTTAAACAGCTGGTGCGATAGACAGACAGACAGGTAATTAGTAGCTGCCATAATCACCCAGCAGATTGCTTCAGTTAGCTCAACTTGTTCAACAATCTGATTATTTGATTCCATTGAGTTACTCTTTGCAGCATACAATCTGTTGTTCATTGTTTTTAAGATGATTGATTCTGTCTATCAGTGTAAAAATTTACAAGTTATTTTAGGCCAAAGTGAATAAAAGGAATTAGAACCCTCTTTCACCCAGATTAAATTTCTTACTGCACCAACTGATCCAGCAGTTAATCCGTAATATTTACATAGAACAAAATCCGTTAACTAATCAAATCCTAAAGGGAGTTATTTCTAACCCGGATACCTTGTAGTTGTAAAGTGTTCGATATTGGAAGTGAATTACGCATTCAAATCCTTAAGTGATTATGAGTTGTTTCCAGGCCGTAGACATATTTTATTGACGATTTTGACGAACCAATAGATCAAAGCGGTGTAATTGTTTCAGGCATTATGACTTTATTTTCTATTTTACGGTTCATATCAAATGAATTGTAAAGCATGTTTCAGATCTCATTACTTACACCTTGTAAGGAGTCATAGATATTTTTTGTTGTTTATTAATGCTTATAATTCCCTGTTGTTATTCTGGATGAAATTGGTCAACACGCAACTGACGAGTGCTAGATAGGACGAAACGTGTGCCATAAATTCGATTGCTAGCTGCCACAGAACAATAAATTACAATACATTATTTATGTTTATCCATCCTCTTGATATCAGTTTAGGTCTTTTTTTGTTCACCAATATTGTTGATAGAAATGATTTAGCTTACGCTAAACTCTTACTGAGTTTGCCTGTTGTGTGAGTCATACAGACTTCGAGGAGTGTTAGATGGTATGCCGATAGGCATTCTGCGTTCCCATTATGAGACGCATTTGATCCTTATCTTTACTCTGGTCGCATGAATCACCAGCCCCAGAAATCTCTATTGAAGAGTGACAGAAACATCAGTCAGCTAATTTCGCATAGTTTTGATAATCTAAGGTGGATTCACCACTTTGTGGTAGATATTTATCACCAAGTTTAATCCATGAGTTGCAGAACCATGAAAAACTTCGAAACACTGAGCAATTAGCTGTTTCATCCTATTATGAGACTGCTCAGCAGTACAAATCAGTGACCCTTCCAGAGATCGAACCCAGGACCTTTAGGTTTCACAACGAATGCATTAGCTGAATGGCTAATGCGTCGGAGTTGTGGTCCACAGTTTCCTACTTCTGTCAATTCTCACGATATAGTACGACTATCTACCATGGTCTTCAGTAGGCGTCCGCTGCACTTCCGGCTTAGTTGGGTGACCACACAGGTCCCAGCTTCTCATAAGAACTTCGGGATACTTCATCTCGAAGCATGTCACTAATAAGCACTGTACAATAATATAGTGGGAAGTTTATGGGGATTTCCTTTTTATGATTATATTCATGATAGACTGATATTGACCAGTCGACTGTTACTAGTCACTGGTTTCAGTTGTCGTTTATGTTAGGACTCCACTCGTTGTTAGTGCCTGTTGTTTTTTTCTTTCAAACGTCGTCTTATCTCATGGATTGACATCAGTTGGAGAAGTGTTGGGGATCTGGGAGTACTGTACAGCCAGCTGTTTCGTCCTAGTCTGGAACTCCTCAACAGTGCACACCCGTGACCTCGCCTCACCAGGGACCTCCAGGTTCTGCGAGCAGCACGTTACGATTGAACCACAGGGTCGGAGTCGATTGCTCCGTATTTCCAACTTCCATCAGTTCACGATATAGCGTGACCATCACCCAATGTCATCTTTGAGTAACGTTCTGGTTGCGGGACCTGAAGGTCCTGGGTTCCACCCCTAGAGGGGTGAAGTCACTGGTGCGCACTGCTGAGGACGAAACATCTGCCTAGCGCTGTTAGGTTCCCAACGTTTTTCTAACTGATATCAGTCCATGATGAATTCCAACTTGAAATCATTAAATCCCCAAATTGGATTATCTCGTTTTGATTTAATTTTATGAAGTTTTTTTCTAAGTATTTCATTTCCTAACTGTATACTATCTCTATAGGATTTCTGGATTTGTCTCAGAAATTTGCCGGTATGGTTATATGTCATGCATTGCACTTGTGTGTGTTATATTGTTATTCTTGTTGTGATTCGTTGTTGTATCTCAATAAGAGCTCGTGTTTGTACTTACTAATAATGTGTTGCTTTCATGTTCCTAAAACAAATAATTTCTCCTTATCGTGATGTAATCTTGGTGCTTTGAGAAGTTTACACGCTATATTGATTTCCAAATATAAAATCTGATAAGCAGTGGGACCTGATAGCTCAGTTGGTAGTGCACTGGGTTGGGAACCCTTTGGACGCTGGTTCGAATCCCACCTGCCAAACCACGGCTGTCTCAGTCAAAATAATAATCAATATACTACCTCTCTCTAATTCGGTTAGATTTGAATTGAGATGAGAAGTCATGAATGGGCAACCAGTGTGAGTATGATCAAGCGATAGTAAGGCGTCACATAGTAGCCGCCGGGCAAAACTTTTGGTAGTTGATTGAAGTGAAATAAAAATCTCGTCAACAATCGGACCTTGTAGTTCAGTTGGTAGAGGATTGGGCAGGAAACCCGGTGGTCGGTGGTTGGAATCTGACCGTGGTCCACATTCTCATTTCATCTTCAATTATCTCCCAGTTCTAGATATCTTTCTATCCATCTATCTTTTTTTCGATACGTATTAGGTATTATTAATGAAGTATGGAATTATACCATTTATCTATCTATTTGCGTGTGGAAATTTTTATGTTCCTTTGTCTTGTTTATTCACCAAACCTGGTAAAAGTCTAACTTGATAAACTGTTTAGATTTGATCTCAATCTATGCAGGGGAGGAAGGCGGGAGGTATTCGGGATTTTTCGCTAGTTGCAAATCTTGAGCTGTAGGACGAATATAGCAGTATGCGTTTATCTACAAGCAAGCATTTTCTTATCATCTCCGGTGAATACTTAACCCCCTTCCGTCTAACTTTCATGCCATCATCGTGTGTCCTCAGTGCCAAACTGCTTTCAGATAGACAGACGAAATCAACATAAAACCTCTCTCAGAAGTACATTGGTTTAAATTGCTACACTTCACAGTTAGCATGCAATCATCATCATTATCAACATAGGACCAGGCATTACTGCGTAACGGTCCGAGTTGCCACACCTCATATCAGCACATCAAGTAAAAAGGTAGTGAGGTGAAGGATGAAGATAAGTGAATGCAGTCAAAAGAAATATAAAGTACGAGAAGAAAGGAAAGAGGAGTGACAAAATAGTGAGATTCGGTATAGCGTTGTTAAGATGAGGATAATGTGTGTATACATCTGCGCCACTGACTTCGGTTCTGAGCCATATCACCTAGGGTCTCCAACCACTGGTTCCTCTTGTCCCGTGGACCCCAACCACCTAGTCTGCATCGTCCTACATGGCTTAAACCAACAGTCAGAGACTTCATACATTGGTGCCATGTTTTAGTCTGGCCACCTCGGGCCTTTTTCCAGCCTGAACCCACCTCAGCCAACATTGTGTGACGAGGCAATCGGTGACTAGGCATACGTAGTACGTGTCCCAACCATCTCAGTCGATGAAGGTTCACAACCTCGTCGACTGACTTACCTCTTCTCCCTAAAACTCTACACCTAACTTCTGCATTACTCACATGGTGACACCACGGAATACGTCCTATACTACGAAGGCAACGGTGGTCAAATACCTGTAACCTTCTCATGTCTTCCACTTTCAATGGCCATGTTTCACAGCCATACAGTAGAACAGAGCGGACTGCTGTGCAGTACACGCGACCCTTAATAGACAAACGAATATCACGGCGGCGCCATAGGTGGCGCAAATTGGCAAAAGCCAATCGAGCCTTTTGTATCCGTGCAGAAATCTCATCGGCAACTAACCCACCGGGTTGATCCTACTTCCCAGGTAAGTGAAGTGGTCAACACACTCAACCACTTCACTCTCTATTGTTAACCGCGGTACCGCTGAAGACCAGTCCTGGAGCAAAAATTTGCATTTGGGTGGTGAAAATCGCATCCCAAACATTCTCAAATTCCCACTCAAAGTGTTCAGAAGACTCTGCATCTTGTCAGCGTCTTCACCTAACAGGACTATGTCATCTGCATATTCTAGATCTAAGGAAAATTCACCTGTGATCCGGTCAACGTCTTTGTAATTAGGTGACGAGAGGGAAACCTCCATAAGAATATCTATGATAAAATTAAATAAGAATGGGGATAGTGGGCATCCTTGACGGACACCACTTGATGAGTATAGCTCCCTGGACAACTCACCATAGGCTCTAACATGCCCACAAGTGTTCGAGTAGAGAGCTTTCAATAAGGTGATGTACTTACTAGGCACGCCTTTCAGTGACAGACACTGCCATAAGACTTCTCGATCAACGGAGTCAAATGCCGCCTTCAGGTCGAGAAATACAGCTATTGTCGGGCGTCTGTAAGCATGCCTATGTTCCAGGACCTGGCGCAGTGTGAATATTTGGTCGATACATCCACGGCCAGGTCTAAAGCCTGCCTGGTTTTCTCGGGCTTGCTGTTCCCGAGCTCCACTCAGGCGTCGGAGAATTATAGAACTTAGGATCTTAGACACTATGTTTGTCAGGCTGATTCCTCTGTGGTTATCACAAGAGGACTTCTCGCCTTTCTTGAAGACTGGGATGATGAGTGACTTAGACCAGTCGGAGGGGATCGTATTTGATTCCCATATACTGGCTAACAC